CTCCTGCCTCGGCTCTCAGCTGAGGGGGCATCTCCCGAGCCTTCACCCCCAAACACAGACAGCGGCTGCGGGACAACGCCGACTGAAGCCCGCGGCTTTAAACCACGCCTTTCTCTGTGCATCCCACAGGCAACACCTTCAGGTCATTGCCAAAGCACAGAAAATAATTAAAAGGTACTTGCTGATTGTTTACTGCTCGCGTGTCTCAGCTTTGTCAGAGTGTGAGACAGTTTCACTTTCAGTTCTTGGCACTACAGCCCTTCAGACGGGAGCAGATACTTGCTGGAAGCTAAGTTTGGGTTATACTTACAGTCAGAAAATAGTTTTGATACGTTAATTAGGCTTCCTTTTAAAGGAGCTTTGCTGGTTGATTTCTGTGGGAAAAAAAATGGATGTAGACGAGATAGAGTTGGAACACGATGTTAGAGTATGGTGAACATAAGGCTTTTACTATTTTTCTATTAGTATCGACACCCTCCTTTACCCCAAGGCAATTTTATGGTTTGCATTTGTATCCTATGGTGTGAATTTGCCTAGACTGTGGTCCTAGACTGGAATCTAGACTAAATTGTAGATGGTGTAGCTCTGCAAACTGCTTGTCAGAGACTCATGTGCTCTTTTCAGTGATTCAGTGTGATTCTACTTAGGTGTGCAGGCTGTAACATTTAGTTTATTCCCACAGTTGAACATGATCGATATCAAGTGATAAGGACAGAACATAAATCTTGCAGAGTGAAACAGATTTTTAGAACCAACTCCACTATTAAGCTAACAAGAAGTGGTACTGATATGATTAACCAAAGAAGGCTTGCTTTAATTTTTGTTCAGTGGATTTTCATACAGGTGGATTTATGCTTCCATAGGAGCCATCTTAACTTCTGTGCACCCTGGCATGTTTTTTAACATGCATTCGTCACTGAACTCTGTGTCTTCTGACTGCTTTTTCCTCTCTAGGTTCTTTGCTTCCCTTTCATGCCTCAAAAATATTTTGTTTGTCTGTTTTGGTTGCGTTTGATAGCAGAGCTGGAATTACAAAGATGGTTTCTGACAAGTGTTTTTAAAATCAGTGACTGTGGAGAGGGGCTTGAATTAGTATCCCCGGTAAGAAGCGGGCAGTGTTCACCACTTCATCTCTTCAAGAGACATCAGACAAACGATCCACCCATGACAGCCACGGGTGATTATTACTAGCAATGTCACGCGCTGCCAGTGTTCCGCATCTTCTGGGTGCTGTGTTTATCAGACAGGAGGCAAAGATGCTCCTCTGCTCTGCGGTCACAGTCCCCAGGGAGGGGATAAGCGAGTGGTAAGCCGTGAGCAGCATGATGGCCCATGAATTCTGAGCCATTGCATCTGTTGCGATTACAATCTCAGAATCCTGTCATTAGGGAGAGTATGTGCTTAAAAACCCACAAGACCCATCTGTTTCGATTTGAAGTTAATGCATAAACTTGTTTGGATACTAATAAATGTTAGGTTGTCAGACTAGGAGACTGTGCAAGGCTTTGTTGTTTGAAATTTTCGTCAGGGATCTGAATAAAGACCTGGGAGCCAAGGTGGCCGAGTTGCCATCCTGCCATTGACCAGTTGGAGTAACCCAAGCTTTTTAACCTGGGTGCAGAACATGACCAAACAGAGCTTTTTGCTATGCAGGTGCACAGCCTGAAAACCAGCCAAAAAGAAAGTGGTGCTCCAAAATGCCATTCTTACGGACAGGCTCTGTGTTCCTTGGCAAGCTGTACAAAGTGGTGGATTGAAGTCTCTAATTTAAGGTGCTCAGTTGTGGTCCTCTGTAGGAGTGTATGGAGAGAAACAGGTACTGCTAGAGGACAAGTTCTCCTGCCTCGCTGAGACATTATCCAGCATCTAAGATAGTGTCAGAGACATGCTGTTTCTTTTTTGTACATGATGTGTATAATTGGCAAAAGGTGTATTAAGATCATGTTTCCTGATTTTTATTCATTCCTGTGTTAGTATTACTGGGGCTTATGGGCCTGAAAGGCTGAAAACAGAGGATCTTCACACCATCTTGGATCTACAGGGTTGTGGTTCTGCACTGATGTCAGTTCAGACTTCCAGCAACGTAACCTCATTATTTTTAAAATCATTATTTGGCTTTGTGAAATAAGGCAAGCTGGAGGAGAGACTTAAGGCTGCTTACGTGCAGGTTACAGAAGGCAAAACTTCCCAGCCATGAATATTGCTGTCCTCTTAGAACTGGAGAAAAAGAGAATGCAGGGACCAAACCCTCACTGCAGGGGGATTTTGTTTTATTCCAGATGTATGGTTAATTTACATATAATACATCACATTTATTCTAAACTGAAGTGTAGGAAATACTAGCAGCACTTAGATTAAATGAGGGAATAAGAACTTTTTTTGCTATCTGTGACTTATTTTGTTGCCTACCTTTATTATCTGGTATTCTGTTGTTCATGCAGTGTCAGGACAAAAGGGCAGATAGATAATCTGATGTAGCCATTGCCTCAGAGACTGATTGATATGTAGGGCTGCTGTGGTGAAACACATTGGGTCTTACCTTGACATGAATGGAATGTTCTTCCTAGTCAGACTTTGTTTAAGGGAATACCTCTGGCAATATCTCTAGCATAGGAGCTTGTGGAAAGTCAGGAAATTGGTTTAACCATGCCAGTGTAATTTGTGAGATGGTGACCTGCCTGTCTGATAATTTGGCTAGAAGAGATTCCCTCCTATCTTACTGTCATGCTTTGGCAGTTTTTTATAAAAAACTTTTTTCACCGACCTATGGGACTTTATGCTCTGCTTTTAGTCAAAGTTTCTCCTGTTAGGGCTGCCTGCAAGCCTGCTGTAAATTACCTCTAGCTTTAGGGTAAGAGTGAACTTGCGGAACATGGCCAGGTAATGCCCAGGTCCAGGCTGGCCCTTTCTGGTGAGAAACCAAGCCAAGTGTTGGTGTGAAGCTTACAGGCATGATCTCTCGGAGGAGAATAGAATCTGCAAACAACCAATCTCAGAAGGGTACAGAAATGAAACGTATTATGTTCTGTGCTTTCAGACCGAAGGCTAAGTCTTGAAAACATGATTCCTGCAACTGTTCACACTGTCCTGAGTGCTCTATATTTATGCTGCCACAGAAAGAACTGGTTACACTCGGAGGAGAAGCACAGGAAACACCAAGGACTGAAATGCGCTTGCAGCTAAAGTATCCTCATCATGAATAGGTACACAACTATCAGACAGCTCGGTGATGGGACCTATGGCTCTGTCCTCCTAGGGAGAAGCATTGAATCTGGAGAGCTAATAGCCATTAAAAAGTAAGTATTTTCATTTGTTGCTTAGCAGTGGATGGTCCAGGTTTTTCCATTCTACGGTCCACTTCACTTGGTTGTGCTGGTTTCAGTACTTCACATTCCACTCGACATTTGTGTTTGGAGTTGTATTGGGGCAGGATGCTAAGCTCAAGATCCTTGTATCCTCCAGAGCCCTGGCAGAAGCTAAGAGGGTGAGATATACAGGCTTACTGTAACAGTGCTCTGCTCCTGTGTGCAATCAAACGTATTATGTGTACAGTTTAGAGTATTCTGCAGTGCTGCTCTGGAATCTGCAGCCCCTTCCGTGCAGTTAACATGGAACTGATGGTCCATGAATTCCATGATGAATTCCATGGTCTGATTTTCAGCATAATGTTAATCCTGCAGTGATAAGTAACACAACGGATCTCATTGTCCATTATCTCTATCTTTGTATGCTATTATGTATTCGTCTTTTCAGCCTAAGATTTCCTTAAAATTCCTTGAGAAATCCACGTGGTTTTCTGTGCCACTTCAGCAGTGACCTCAGTTTGTAAATGGCTTATTTGTCCTGGTTGTGTTCAGAGACAGCTGTAAAGCATTGCAGGCACCTTCCTGAGGCACATCCATGACCCAGGGACAGGCTTGTCAAAAGAGCTTTCTGTATGTACAATGCTGGTTTGTGTGAACAGTCAACAGCTGGCTTGAGCAGCTTTCTGAGTCCTCTGTGCTGAAGGTATTTTTGCTGTATCAAATCTTACCAAAAGCACCTTTGACTTTCATTTATGCAACATGGTAGAAACTCAGTAACTTCAGAAGAAACCTGCAGATAGTACTCTGGAGCTTACACGTTAGTGCCAATCCATTATTAAGAAGATAAATGGCCTCTGGTGGCTGAATGCATAAGACAGTAATGGAAAAACACTGCTTAAACAAACAAAAAAATAATCTAGACCCCTTCACAAGATGAACGGCTTGTAGGTCTTAAATTATTCTAAGAGCTGATTTCAAACTGAAAACTTGCTACGATAGCGAGTAATACTGAATTATTGTTAAAGTCTGACAAAGACTCAGATCTTCAAAGGTTGCCTAACTCCCTCTGAAACCCAGACTCTAAGCAGTTGGGTGCTTTTGTAAGTTTAGTTTTGCTTTTCTGTGTGTGTGCACATGTGAGCCTTTGTCCTGTGACCCTAAAGCACAGAGTTACGTGTAAAAGAACTGAGTTCTATTAAAAATGCGTCATCAACAAATAGGACCATATGTTACACGCAGTCCTGTGTTCAAAGTCACATTCTGGTTTGGGAGAAAACAGATCTGCCACCCTGTTTGTTTCTGTTAGAGCAGAGTTGCTTATAAACTTGGAAAAGCAGATTTCAAAAAGCAGTTGGCATGATAGATGCAGCTTCCAAGGGAGAGGAAAATGTGGGGAGCAGTGGTCACTGAAAAATGAAGGAATACAAACAACTTAGAGGAGAAAGGTGTCAAAATTACAGAGAAATCAAAGTAGAAAGAAGAGGAGCAAGAAGAATAAGATAGAATTGGAGACAGTGAAATGAAATAATTTGATCTCCGTTAGTTTTGTTTCAAAACGTAGTGTGAGCTTTCATAACTGTCGTAACTCTTGTTCTTTTTGCAGTTAGTCTCCACCACATTGTATACTGGAAAGAAAAATAGCATACCCTGACTTGTTGAAGGCTCTGAAATTTTTGCAGCAAGATATAGACATATATAGATGCAGAGATACAGAGATATATGAAAAAGGCAGTCCTCTGTAATAGTAGTGATTTTAAATTCTGTTAGAGTGTATCTTGTCTACAGATGTATTTTGAGAAAAAAGATAACACCTTATATTTTGATGGAAGAACTGAATTGTTGAGTTGTAATGAGACTTGTAGGTCTAACACCAGCCAATGCTGATCACGTGTTAATCTTTTTTTCCCCTCTACTATTGTAGAATGAAGAGAAAGTTTTATTCCTGGGAGGAATGCATGAACCTTCGAGAGGTTAAGGTACTTGTCTCTTTCAGTGGTTGACTTTAAATTAGACAATCCCTGTCATGTTCTATGGTAACATCAAATTCTCTCCATACCTGTCAGAACTTACCCTCAACATAAGCTGTGACATATGGCATTACAATTCTGTGTCCTGGCTCTGCATTCAAACAGCTTGTCTGTAGTCTTAGAAAAATCCTGAATAAAATTCTCAAGTGTTACAAAAAATCTTTTGACTGTGGAGAGCTGCTTCCTCCTGGCTGTGAGTGGTGTGTGAATGAGGGCTTTCCTGTCACAGAACCTGGAGTTGGTTGGCGTTTGTCTTCAGAACTTGGGAACACGTGCCCTGTGCACAGCAGTTGCTTTTGTACATGCAGTTGTTTCTGGGTAGTTGATTTGGGAGAGGACATGCAGCATGAGATTCTGACACCAGGAAAGCTCTGGGGATATGCTCTAAGGACCTCCCTTAATTTCTAGTCCTTGCTATCACTGTTGCAAACATGCAGAAAGCCTAGGTCACTTTTCTTACAGTACCATGTGTTGGAACAGTGTTGCTACAGCAAGAATGAATGCGGAATAAACAGAAAATCTAAAAAGAATGGAGAATGAAGAGCTGAGCACACTGGGCTTGGCTGGGATATAGTTCTTTTTCTTCATAGCAGCTTGTAGGGGTCTGTGTTTTGGAGCTGTGACCAAAACAGTGTTGATAAGACGGGGTATTTTTTTAGTTACTGCTGAGCAGTGCTTGCACAGCATTAAGCCTTCCGGTTTTCACACTCCGTCATCAGCGAGGGCTGGACAGGGGGCTGGGGGGGACACAGCTGGGACAGAGGGAAATCCCACCTCTCAACAATAAATCTGGGGGAAGGAGGAGGAAGGGGGTGTGCGGAATGGTGGCTTTTGTCATCCCAAGTGACTGTCGCAGGTGATGGAGGCATGCTGGCCTGGAGATGCCTGGGCCCTGCCTGCTGATGGGAAGCTGCAGATGGATGCCTTTGTTTCCTTGGCATGTGCATGCAGCTTTTGCATTACCTGGTAAAGGTGCAAGTAGAAGAAGAGTACGAATTCTGCCAGTAGGAAGTTACTTACAGAGAAAATGCAGTTGTTTTGGTGGCTGCTGTGGTGCCAGAGGGCTGGCTTTTGAATGACTGGCACACTAAATTGATACATATACTGTGTATGTGTCTCGTAATATGTGGAGATCTGTTTTTTGTTCTCAGAGCTGTCTGATCATTTAAAATATTGAAGAATTGTCAAAGCCAAGTCTTCTGCATCAGTGAAGCACTTGTTACTTTTTCATTATAGTAAAACCCTTGCAAAATCCTGTTTCTGTTTTCTGTTTCTAGTCTTTGAAGAAATTAAACCATGCTAATGTCGTAAAGCTGAAAGAAGTTATCAGAGAAAATGATCATCTGTATTTTGTGTTTGAATACATGAAGGAAAATCTCTATCAGTTAATGAAAGAAAGGTATGTAACAGCACCATCCATTCCTGATATAAATTAATTACTTGCATAATGTGCTTTAAACACCCCTTACTTTTCAGAGGGCTTTGGGTCATTCTTTAGGTTTAGATCGCTATGGCTTAAAGCTGTGTGCTGCAGTAAGAGCTGTGACTCCTGTGGAGCATATCCCAAACAGCTGAGTGAGCGTTTCCAGTGTTTCTTCCCATATTCGCCTGGTAGATAAGTAGGGAACTCTTTTGAGAGTTAGGAGCTGTGGACTTCTAACAGCGCTCATACTGAAGAGGCATTGAACCTAGAACTTTTGATTTCCAGGCAAGTACTCCAACCAGCAGTGCTTTTTCTATTAAAGGGATGGTATCACCACCTCTTCTCTTATGGCTTCCTCAAATAAATGAATAAATAAAAAATGGTTAAGACACTAAACATGAGGGGTCAAATTCTGGATTGCTTCTAGGATTTTTTTTTTCCTTGCAGGTTGGACTGACATGTCCAAAGACTGCCTGTTTTATTCATCATCATTCTCAATAAAATACAGCTTTTCATATTTGCTGGAACATTAATGAAGTGTTAATTTTAGCCTTTGGGCCATGATAGCATCCTCCAGAGGATAATTTTGGGTAAAATAGCTCCCTACTTGGAGTTTTCTGAGGAAGCCATTTTCTTTCTGTGAATCATAGAGTCAGAGGAAATATGAACTCTTTCTGCTGTAATTAAAAAAATAAGCAAGGAACTATGAAAAGCTGACTCTAGTGGCTGATCTCACTTCTGAAATATGTTATGGTCAGTTTTTTTGAGAGGAATCAACTCAGGAAACTGAGTAAGGCCAAAGCCATATTCTTCATTCACTGTTTGGCTCTTTCTGAATAAAATTCGTGTTCTGGCGTTTGCAGAGGCAGCTGGTACAGAGCCATTTGGTCAGAATCCTCTCTTGGTAAAAGAGACTATTATTAAACCACCTGCCATGGCTGATCTACTCACCTGAATATTAAGGGGAGAAAAGCCTCTTGTTTTCAGTGGTAGCAGATGGGACTGTTTTTCTTAGCTAACAGAAAAGAAGGAAGTAGCACATCAGCTGTTGGATAATGACAAGGGCAAGTCAAAAGTATGGCTTGTATGTGCTCTGGAAGAGAGGCCAGAAGAAAGGGTGCATGAGAAGCACTAAATTAACATGAACCCTTGCTGTCCTGAGGAGCGTGCCTCATGACCTGTACATGTTAAGGTTTGGCTATTTTCTTTTTTTTTTTTCCCACTTTTTTTAGTTCACTGTCTCACATAGTCTTAACATGTTTCCACATAGTCTTACTGTAATGAAATGTGGCAGTTCTGCAAATACTGTGTAGATTTTTTTGAGAGAGATAAACTTCATGAGAGTGCTTAAAATATATCTATCAGTTTTATTATCATTGATACCTTTTGTCTTTTCATTAGATAAGCTAATGTGTGAACTTAATCATTAAGATTTATTTCTTCCCTTTTCTTTTATCCCACAGAAACAAACTGTTTCCTGAATCTACAGTTAGGAATATTATGTATCAGATCCTGCAAGGGCTTGCATTTATTCATAAGCATGGTAGGTTATGTTTTAGCTGTAAACATTTTGAATTAGAGCAAGATGGTGTCTGTGTAAGTTTTGAGATGAGTATAAGTACAATTACATTACTAAATTAGTGCAGGGATTGATCAAAAGATTGGCACCATATGAGAGATTCAGATTACTGAAAATATCCATATTTTATAGTTGACTGATATTTTAGTTTGGAGATATTAATGGGCACATTCCTTGACAGGTCCCTGAGATAAGGTCCCCTGTGATTCTGTATAAAGGAAGAATTACTCTTTTCTCAAGGTACACACAGATCAGCTATGTGAATAAAATGCATATTCTCTAAGTAATAAAATCTGAGTGACAAACAGCTTTTGTTTAGCTTTCCAAACTAACTTTTACAATAATGATAAAAGCTGAAGCTGGTGTGCCGGCCAGTAGTAACAAGACCCTTCAACTATAATTAAAAAATTTGCTTATTTTACTGGTAACTTCCTCACTGTGTTTTGCTGTCCTCTGCAGTTCTACCTGATAAATACAGTGTGATGTGTGCTGCTGGTCAGCTCTCAGAGTTGTTGTAAGAGCACTAAAATCAGCGGCCAGAGTCCTGGAAGTGAAAGGCTTGTGGTGCCAGGATATCAGTTTGTTCAAAGAACACATTTAACTTTGTTTTGCAAAACGTTTTCAAGCTAATGGCTTTATTCTCTCTTCTGCCAGGGCTTGGCTATTCTTCTGGAACCACGGTAGAAATTCCAGTCTGTCCCAGTGACACAGAAAACACCTGAAACTAGAAAAATCATATAATTTGTTTGCAAAAAATCTAAGCCACCTTTTTTAAGCAGATTGTCAGACGGATTACAAACTTTCAGAATACCTTTTACTGTATTTAACTTGCTGTGAAGAGCGAACAGTTCTGTGTCAAAACTGTCTTGTTGACTGACCTGCTACACACTAGACTGGTATTTCTGCCATGTTGCAATTCCATAGTTAGATAGGTCAGGAAATTCATGGCAAGCCTGACAGCATGGTGTTGATGGTCATGTGGCTCACAGTATAAGTCTGTGTGTCCCAACAGTTTTAGAAAAATTACATGAAGTTTTTTTCCCCCTCTCTTATTTCTCTATTCTGCTCCTGTATGACACAGCAATTTAATTAAAGCAAGTATTTTTTTTATGTTCTTTGTTCACCCAAACGTCAAGCATCTTTTCATATTTGAACACTTAATTGATTGCTTTTTCACAAGTTTACTGTGAAATAAATTGCCTCAAAAGCGTTCTGTTGGTGCATTGCATGTCTGTGCAGCAAAATACAGAAGTGGTGGTACTAAAGGCTAAAACCAATGTTGACTGCTCTGTCTGATACCTTCCATAAAGAGGCAGAAGTTAGTCTGGCACCAGAATATCTACTTAATATCCCCAGGAAGGACATAAGCTGCTGGTTGGTAGAAATGTACAGCACAATGTTTTTAATGCTGTCATGCGTTAATCTAACAAACGAAAGTTAATACATTGACGCTGGACGATGTCCTCTGTGCATGTTTATTGCGTTCTCTGTGGGAGCATATTCAAGGCCATGGACAAAACTAAGCATGTTGGAAGGTCTCTGAGAAGGAGGTCACAGAACTCTAGTAAGGTACTACAGAAGGGGTTGTGTATAGGAGACAGAGTCTTAGATGCCTGCAGGAATGAAGCATAAAGGCAAGTTTTCCAGACTGAGGATGGAAACAAAGTTCAAAGACATTTAGGTTTGAAAAGACCTTTAAGTTCATCAGGTCTGACCATTAATCTAACTCAAGCAAGTCTGCTGCTAATCCATTTTCCTAAACACCATATTGACACGACTTTCAAACACATGGAGGGATGGTGACTCAACCACTTCCCTGGGCAGCCTGTTCCAGTGCTTGACAGCCCTTTCAGGGAAGAATTTTTTCCTCATATCCAACCTAAACCTTTAAAAAGAAGTTTCAAAATGTGAAAGAATTACCTCATGTTTTAATTTGTTTAAAAGAACTTTTGAAGTAATTTTTTGATGTTTTCATTGCACAGTTTCCAAGACAATTAGAATGAAATTAACATTAAAATGGTGTAAATCCTTTTATGTTGAAGAAGTGTGCCCTAAAAGGGAGCTCTCTGACTGAATGCTCTGAACTGTTGTAAGCGAATCAACTTGTATATTCTGCTCTTCACAGTCTGACAGAACAACTGTTACACTGACTAGTGCTGTTGATCACATAAGACTTTGTGTTCTGCTGTTCAAGCTGCAGCAATAAGAACTAAAGCAAACAATCCAGGTGGAAAATAGAGGCTACAGCTGGGGATGGCATTGCAATGGACATCAATATTTCCTTTGAATTTTAGGGTTCTTTCACAGAGACTTGAAACCTGAAAATCTCCTTTGCATGGGACCAGAACTTGTGAAAATAGCAGACTTTGGCTTAGCCCGAGAAATCCGATCTAGACCTCCTTACACTGATTATGTGTCCACAAGATGGTAAGTGCTAGTATTTGCCTGCATTGTGTGAAACTTGAAATCAAGCCTTTAGAGAAGTATCAAATTGGTGCTGATTGTCATACTGCTTTTGATGCTTTCTCTTTAAGAAACTTATTTAAGCTTGGCATAATTTAAAAAGCTTCAGGTAGTATGAGACAATTTACAGATGGCAGCAGCAGAGGAACAAAGAGGGATGCTGGTAGAGGAGGTGGGACATGTGGGATTGCTGCATGTCAGGAAGGTGTAAGAGAGCTTACAAGAGATTATATGTAGGTTTTAATTCTTCATTCTAGAAGAAAATGAAGTCTTACGTGTAGCATAGGAGGTTTTCAAGGGATGATTTCTCTTCACAGAAGGAAGAGCTGAATGGTTGTGTGTATGTCTGTTTGAATTGTGTGGATTGTTGGGATTTTATTTTTTTTTTTCCCCTCACTCTTACAGGTACAGGGCTCCTGAGGTCCTTCTGAGATCCACCAGCTATAGTTCTCCAATAGATATTTGGGCTGTCGGCTGTATAATGGCAGAAGTTTACACACTGCGGCCTCTCTTCCCAGGCGCCAGTGAAATTGATACTATATTCAAAATTTGCCAAGTCTTGGGGACGCCAAAGAAGGTAGCTAAAGTGATATTCCACACTGCAGTAATACTACAAGTGTTCTACAACACAGAGTGGCACAGTAGCAGTAAGAATAAAAATAATCAATTTCCACACTTATTACTATTGTATTGATCTCAGATAGAGTAAACTAAATTATAACTTATTTTAGTGCAGAATAAGCATTATGTAATTATGCTATAAAACCTGACATTTAGAAGAGGAGAAGTAAACCCCTGAGCAGCAGAGTCATTAGACTGTGGTTTCATTGGGCAGAAATTATATTTTCTCTTGCAGGTTGCATATAAAGCTATGGTTTAAGAGGTTAAAAATTGGAATGATGGCAAGACTCCTATCTCCTGATTCCATTTGTGCCTTTGACTTGATTGGATGTAAAGTAAGACTTGCCTCTCACCAGAGGTTTGAGGTGTAAATTCCTAGTGAAATCTTTCACATAGTCTAGAGTCAGCTGGGTACAGTCTATTACTGATAGGAGAATATATGCTAGTGTACTTAGGCTCGATGGTATTTTACAGCTGAACTGTCCTTGTGATTGGAAATCTCCTTTTTCCAGAACGACTGGCCTGAAGGCTACCAACTTTCAGCCTCCATGAATTTTCGCTGGCCTCAGTGTGTACCTAACAACCTAAAAAGCCTCATACCCAATGCTAGCAGTGAAGCTGTGCAGCTCATGAGAGACATGCTGCAGTGGGACCCAAAAAAGCGGCCAACAGCTAGTCAGGTTTGGTTTTGTTTTCTTCTCCTCACATCTGCATGTGACACTCCTTTCAGTGGAAGGCACCTTTTATAGACAGTTGTTTAACAGTTGCTTGGAGCTGCAGTTCCTACAAGGGAGAAGAACAGAAGCCAAGAACAACTTAGAAGACAAAGGGGAGTAATTGAAAGAGATTAATCAATCTTTTGTGTGTGACTCAGCTGCATGGGGTGTGTGCTTAGTGATCAAAGGTGTGACTGCAGTGTGACTGCACCTGAACTAAGTCTAATGCAGTCACTGTCAATAGCAGCAGAGCCAAGGTAGGATGTAGAGCTGAAAGCTGTGGTGGAATTCTTTCATTGGTATTGATACACACCACAGAATCACAGAATAGTTGAAGTTGGAAGAGGCCTCTGAAAGTCATCTGGTCCACCCAGCCTGCCTTAGGCAACCCGTGCCAGTGCTGAGTCACCTTCACAGTAAAAAGGTGTTTCCTGATGTTCAGAGGGAACCTCCTGTGTGTTTGTGCCTATTGCCTCTGATCCTGTTGCTGGGCACTAAGAAAAGAGCCTGTCTCCAGCTTCCTTCCACCTTCCCTTTCAGTATTTGTATACTTTGGTGAGATCTCCCTGAACCTTCACTTCTCCAGGCTGAACAGTCCCACCTCTCGTACTCTTTCCTCATATGTGAGATGCTCTGGTCCCTGAATCATCTTCATGGCCCTTCACTGGAGTCTCTCCATTATGTCCATGTCTCTGTTCTGCTGAGGAGCCCAAAACTAGACACAGCACTCCAGGGGTGTCCTCACCAGGGCTGAGCAGAGAGGAAGGATGACAGCCCTCAGCCTCCTGGCAACACTCCTGCTCATTCAGCCCAGGGTGCTGTTAGCCTTACTTGCAGCAAGAGCATATCAGTAGCTCACCTTCAACTTGGTGTCTACCAGATTCTTTTCTGCAAAGTTGCTTTCCAGGTGGTTGACCCCAGCATGTACTGGTGTATGGGCTTGTTCCTTCCCAGATCCAGACATGCTGAACTTGACAAGGTTCCTATCAGCCCATTTCTCCAGCCTGTTAAGGTCCTTCTGCATGGCAGCATGACCTGGTATATCAGCCACTCCTTCCAGTTTTGTGTCATCAGGAAACTTGGTGAGGGTGCACTCTGCACCACCCTCACATCACTAATTGATGAATGGTAATTTCAGTCACTAATTGTGTTGAACGGTATTTGCCCCAGTGTTGACATCTGGGACATACTGATACCTTCCAGCCTCCAACCAGACTTTGTTCTACTGTTCACCAAGCTCTGGGCCTGGCCCTTCAGCCAGCTCAGTGTCTGCTCATCCAGCCCCGTGTTGCCTGGATAAAGCTGGCCCATGCAGGGTGGTTTGCAGGGCGCTCTCAGCTTGATTGCCTTGTCAGTATGTCCAACATCCTGTACATCATCATAGCCCAGGCCATCAGCATTGCCCATCTCATGGTCCACCTGATGCTGTTGACTGTCACCACTGATTTCGGGTTATCAGTGGTGTGGTGCTAGTACTAACCAATGGAATGAGCAGGGCACCTTTTGAAAAACAGCTGTGATTCTGGGTTCAAATCTGACCTGACTTCAGTAGGACTGTAGCTGAACCTTTGTGATTATATCAGACTTTCAGTAGAAATTGTAATGAAAAGCTTTAAAGCTAATCACAGCAGTTGAAAAGCAAAATAGATTACAAACTCTCGAAGGTAATGAAAAACAAAAAGTACTGACTGTAATTTGGTATTAAGAGCCATTAACAAATGTTTTACAGTAAGGTACAAATATGGTGAGGAATCTGAGCTTTTAGCAGCTTTTTGCAGTGAGAGGTCTTTGGGAGGTGAAGATGAGTATACCTGGAAGAGCAAGATGGGCAGAGATGAATTGCCTCTGCTGACAACTTCTTAATTACTTGTAAGGTTGGATGAAGATGTTTTTACCAATATGTCTTTCAAAAATGAGAGAAGCTAATTTTCATCAGGGTCGTATTTCTTTCACTTGATTCAGTGTTGGGACTGGAGAATGGAAGAGATGGGCTGTCTGTGGGGTCATTCAGGTCTTGATGGCTGAATCTGTGATGACAGGAGTGCATGTGTTTGCACGTGCACGCACACGTATGAAGAGACAGCGCATAACGAAATGGAGAGCTGCAGGATGGTTTGAGTTGGAAGGGACCTTAAAGATCATCTAGTTCCAAGCCCCCTGCCACGGGGTGGGACACCTCCAACTAGACGGGTTGCTCAAAGCCCCATCCAGCCTAGTTAAACACCCAGTGTTGGGGCATCTACAACATCTCTGGGCAGAACATGCCTCTAGGTGTCATACCTCTGGTTAAGTACCTTACTTCTGCTGAGCCTTTTGTTTTGTGCAGTTCCCCAGAGGGTTTGATAATTGTGTATCTCTTGAAACTTTTCTACTGTTGCAGCATTATTCTGAAGTAGATTGTTTTAATTAGGATCTAGTGTTGAGAGATGGGTCTTATGCTGTTCCCACCCCAGGAAAAAAGGAAATTACCGTCACATAGTGCTAGGGTAAACCAAAAACTTTGTTTTCCTAAGTTGTATCTTAACATCTTTGTTATGTTTTAGGCACTTCGATATCCATACTTCCAGGTTGGGCATGCCCTGGGTGTTCAGGAACTGGGGAAACAAAAGGATCTGCATAATAAATCATCTCTGCTTATTAAGCCTGTGCCTCCAGCACAACCCCCTTCGAAACCTCACGCCCGCATTTCGTCAAGGCCTTTTCAGCAAAGCCAGTCTTCTCAGCACCTGGTGTACCCCTATAAGACTGACAACTCTGGGGCTGAGCACACTAACTACTTACAGGAGGACAAGTCTAACCAGGTTCTTCTGCCTGCAATTCACAATAAGGTTCCTCAGCAGGTAAAGGTCCATCTGGCATAAGATACACATCCTGATACACTGCCTGGTTTTTCTTTAATTGTGTTTCTTTTTCTTGTGCTTTTTCAAGGTTCTTGTACTATAGTAGAAGGACAGGAAATGAAAACAGAGAATAGTTACAAGTTTCTGCTAGAAACTGGAAGTTACTCCACTGAAATCTAAATCCAATTGCTATAAACCAAGCAAATCCATTTCTCATCTCAAACCTATTTTATGATTCCTTTGTTGTAAAGCACAACTTAAAGGATGACACTGATTTCATATGCATAAAAGGGACATACAGTGGTCAGAATATTAATGGGATTGATGCCAGGGAGAAAAGTGTTAAGCTAAATAGTAAGATTAAATAATTCATAAGACAGGTGACAAGAGCAGACAGTGTGAATGCTGCTGCTGCTGTGAGATCAGTCCTCAGCAGGGTCTGTACTGGCCTTATACAGAGTCACACAAGATTGAAACGTACCAATGAGCTTAAGGTGATGAAGAGACACAAATTTTTACTGGTGCTGTCCTGCAAGAAAAATGCATGTTATAAATGTCCAGGCACAAGCTTGTGGAAACATGAGCATGCATGTAGAATTGGAATTGAGACCTAAGAAATGTATTCTTCTGCCAGTGCAAGGTACTTGATTACAAGATGGAGGAGATGGGCAGTGACGTCCACAGGCTACAGACTGCGTTGGTAGCATCTGTAATGAAAGATCAGGATTCTGTTGTTACAGCTCTACTGACGCTGCTATTCTTTGAGACATGAAAAAAAAGTCTTCTTTGTTCCTGTCACCTGGTTTATGGTGTAAATGTGTGGGTTTGTTTCTTATCAACCTTTCTAACAGAAAACATCTGCTGGTACTGAGAACATAAATGGTGAACTTAACCCAAAAACGAGGAGAAGATGGGGACATCTTGCTAGAACAGTGAAGAGTTCTGAAGACTGGGATGACTTAGAAGACCTTGATTTTGGCTCTTCCATCACTAGGATAGACTTGAAAAACAAGAAGAGGCAGAGTGACGAAACTCTTTGTAGGCAAGTTGGTTTCAGTCCGTGTGCTGTTGGGTTTTATTTCCTTAGGCCTTGCCTCTTTTTTCCTAATGTTGCTCTTTGTGCTTTCTGTGGACCTAGAAATGTATCCAGGCTGGTAAAGGATGTGCAGCTTGTCCCGCTTCTGCTTGTTGAATGGTGACCTTTGAATTGCAGCACATATTTGGATGGACGGTGAACCCTTTGATACAATTCTGTAGTCATTTTTCCCCACTGAAAATTATCCTTACCTTAAGACTTCCCAAGTTAATCTTCGAGTACATTCACAAATAAACCGTTTTGACATATTCCATGCATATAAACTAGTTTGAGTGACTCTGAGCTGCAGTTTCCATGGATCATACACAGTGGAGAAAAACTTAGTGAACGATTTATAAAAACTTTAAAAGCAATATATGAGGGAACTAGAAGCACAGATCTGGTTTTCAGGGGCTCTTGTATGGCTTCAGGCTGAAAATACTCCCTGTTGTCTGTGTGTTTATGCTGTAGCAAACACAGTGTGAGGAACTGATTGCTGGAGATGGGATGAAGAGGAGAAGCCAGCTGTGGATAAAGTTACACTGTAAGAACTGGACTAAGTGTAGCAATTTTTGGGTTATAGATTTGAGAGCATTTTGGACCTGAAGCCTTTGGACGCTGTGGGCTGCGGCAGCAGTGCCCCGTCCCACGGGACCTTGCAGCAGCAGGACACTCCCACCCTGCGAGTCTCTGCAGCAAAGCAACACTACTTGAGACATTCGAGGTATCTGCCTGGTTAGTATAAAATCCTCTTTTGCTTTTCTTCCTGTATTTCCAACAGCAGTAGGAAATAGTCATTGGTACACCAGGTTTATCCTTTGAGCTTGGGGAGGCTTGGTCTACTACTTAAAGAAAATAAGGAGAGCAAGGGCTCTGCAAATGCAGATGGCCACAAACACAAACTGCATTCTAGCAGTCTGGCAACTGAGATGAATCCTGCCTGCAGGAAGGGGATGGGATTTTTGGTACTTCTTCCTCCTGCTGGATACTATTCTATACTTTGAATTGTCTTAGAAAATGTGTGTTCATGTGCCAAGCTATTCCCTGTTTCCCTAAGGATAAGACGGATCTTCTAGACTGGAAGAGAAAGAGCCCTATGTTTACCTCATGAGTATATAACACCACGAACAACAGAAGCTAACTAATAGTGGGAGCATGCTTTCCTGCAGCTTAGTGCTACAGAGAATGCAAATCCCTGTCTCCCTGTTAAACTCTTGCCATGCTGAAACCAGCACTGGGGCAGGATGAAGTACAGGGGGTGGACACCATGTCTGCCTGGAGTTAAAATGAGCTGAATGTAAATATATCTTCTTTCATCATTTCTGTTTGTAATGGCAGTGTTAGTTGTTCATTCACTTGTAGTGCTAATACTTAAAAACTATTTAAGTAAACTAGAAGGTATGGTGATGGTAAACTCAGGTCTTTTTTCCTGGAATGATTAGTTCCAATGGCTTTTAAATTGGGTTACTTAAGTAGAGTTTTGGTAGCTGGAAGTTGAACTGAACGGGGCATATGCTCTAAGGTTGGGCATCAGACGGAGTGAGTGCAGGCCTGTGTAACAAGGGAGATCTCAGCGTGGTAATTTTTATCCTTCTGCAACAGGACTAAGCACAAGGACTGGCACAGTCTCCACCTCAAACAAGGAGCCTGTGCTGTCTAACCCCTGGCCTCCTGGGAAAGCTTCCGGCTTGGGAGGAGGTGTTACCAGGATGAATTCAGGTAAGAGCCTGTGCTGGACACTCTGAGAAGAGGTAACGGGCAATGTCCCTGCAGTTCCTGACAGCTGTATTTTTTGGTCACCCATATCTAATACATTGTCAGCTCCAAAGGTACTTGCCACCTGTCCTTTCTGTCAGAATCAGTTACGAGTTCACTCGTAACAAATCACTGTTCCTTGGATTTGGAGACTACCTTAAATTTGGAACGTACTAATTTCTTCTAATTAATCCCTAAAAGTCTGTTTTGAGGTACCACATGCATAGAAGATTGGATAGCTGAGGGCTGTTGAACCTCTAATACTTCATCTTGCCTTTAGTGTCCCTTGGCAGTTTTTTAAGTTGTGTTTTCAGGTTTCCAAACTATTTTAGCCCATCTGGTGCCTAAGTGAATGTCATAGAGGAGCAAGCTGGTCGAAACTGAACTAGCTTTACACCCCACTCTAATGTCAATAAAGCGAGTGAAATCTGTCATACTGTCTTTTAATGGATGATGTTTAAAATAGTGGAAAAGTTGCAGCTTCAAAAATTTTAGTCAAAAAGCAAAACTCTTCAATTTTTCTTCTTTAGGTTTTTGGGGCATTTGGTATTTCAGGCATCTAATCCCTATTATTTGATTTGAAATAACTAATTTTTAGGGTTTTACATTAGCTTTTGCCAGATATACTTAAACATGTTGATGTTTCTGGATTTTATCTACGTATTTCCTCTCTAAGTCTTTCTTGGCTTTAGGTGTTCATGTGATGTTGCAGTTCTGCAGTGCAGTACTTGTGTTGCAGATGTTGTTAGGAAAAGGACTGAGAAAATTTCTGCTGAATCGTGGCCTGCATAAACATTTTGGGCTATTAGAAACACTGATTTAGAAAATAAAAACTTAAAAGTTTGGATGTAATTTAATCAGAAAATTGTTTTTTAAAGATTCAAGACGGAAGTTTGTTTTAAATGACTAAACTACATGAGAACCTTTATCTACATAGCATGTCTTCTTCCTGGCTCTTCTGCACATTTCTGCTTCTTTTGTAGCTGTGCAGGATATAATTAGAATTGTCCTTTTTTCAATTATTACCATCATTTCCCAGAATATGCTTTGCCACTGCTACGTTCCGGGCATCTGTGGGATGGATCTGACCTGTGCGTGCTAGCTTGTTCCGTGTCCATCCGCACTGTAACTCTAGACTGTCTTATTTATAACCAGTTTTGTTCTGGTTTCTACAGCTTATCCTGCAGGTCAGTCGGCTCTGTTCCTGCTTACCTTATAGACAACTTTTGTAGCTGACTTTACAAATTTAGAACACGAATCTGTCCTAGTTTATTTAAAGTTGTGCTCTTAGTGGCTTCAGTAAGAGCTTTGGGTAGCACCAGAGCCCCAGACTCACTGCACAGAGATTAAGAGTATATTTATAGGACCTAGTTGCTGAAGGTCAAACAGAATAATTCCAGCTGAAATGCTAAGTTTTGAAAGCTTTGAGAAACCTTGAAAAAGCTGAGATGTCAGGGAGAAGCAGAAATTGCCCTTCTCAGAGTACAATTTGCAGCAGTTTTCCATTCATCTTTAAGGCAGTCTGATGCTGACAGTCTTCTGAATGTAGGTGTATACAGGATCTGTGGATTTCTAGCATTTTCAATGAAGTTCTTGTTTTCATCAGTCCATGATCAGGGTTGATCTGGAATGTTACTGATCGGTGCAGGCTCATTTGTCCCTGGAATGGGTTGCCCAGGGAGGTGGTTGAGGCCCCATCCCTGGGGGTCTTTAAGGCCAGGTTGGATGAGGCTCTGGGCAGCCTGATCTAGTGTGAGGTGTCCCTGCTCATGGCAGAGGGGTTGGAACTGGGTGACCCTTGTGTTCCCTGCCAACCCTGACAGATTCTGATCTGTTTTAGCAGAGGACTTTAGAGCCCTAATGGCTCAATGGTTGGGCTTGATGATCTTAAAGGTCTCTTCCAACCAAAAGGATTCTATGATTCATCTGTTGGTGGTCTGGGAGGTGCTGAGCTGGGGCATGCTTTGCTTTTTCTTCCAGGGCCCACAGGGTCCAGCGGTCTGACTAGTGGTTATATCCCTTCGTTTCTGAAGAAGGAAGTAGGCTCTGCTGGGCAGAGGGTGCAGTTAGCACCAGTTGTGGATCCATCTTCTGGTAAGTACAGTGCCAAGGTTGTCTTAGTCCCTTGCTCATTACTCAGGTAACGCTGTGTACCTGCAGCACTGAACTGTGTTGCGTTGCATTGCTTTTTCTGCAAATATCTGCAAGTATTTGGCTGACTGGAATGACAGTTTGTAACCCTGCAGAACTTCATACGGAGAAGGATTTGGTTTATTTTCACTTTGCTTATGAAATACATGGTTTTATCCACAGTGTATTTCAGTGAGACCGAGGCTGGTGTGAGAGCTGGCACAGAATTCACATCTATCAGAGCAGTGATGTAAATGCTTCTTGTCCAATAAGGTTTTAGGGATTGGATCCACTATAATCTCACATCAGCAAATTCTAACACAAAAAAAAGGAAGTTTATTTATTTCCTGAAGAAATGAGGATCTGGACCTGCACCCATCCTTCTATTCAACGTGGACAGCTACTCACCGACCCTTTATCTCATGGCCTTTTCTTTTCTCCTTTAGATTATGCTTCTCTGAAGCCAGTGAGACCCCATCTTGAACGACCATCATTCAATTCACCTGCCAAAAGCTCACCAAGGTTAATGCCTCTGCCACCAGCAGCTCAGCCTATCCACGGGCGCGTGGACTGGTCTGCCAAGTATGGTGCCCACCGGTGATGCCAGGGAACCTCCCTGAACCTGGGCATGGCTCCCAGGAAGTGGTGGCTGGCGTGAGACAATTTGGTACTGTTCTACATACCTGTAAACTGAAAAGAAACAGATCTTCTGTGAGCGAGATGTTTTGCAGGGTTTTTTACTTTTATTTGTATTACTTTGGATGCAATTTTGTACCTTTTTGTATAAAATTGTTTTGTTATATAATTGGGTCCAGTTATTTTCATAAATCTGATACATTTTGTATATATGGCTTAGGGGGTTTGGCATTTTTATACGATAAATTTTTATAACAAACTTTAAAAAAAATTAACTTTTCCTCAGTTAGATTCAAGTTTTTTAATAAAAGTAGATAAAAAAGCAAAGTGGTGCAATATTGCAGTGACAGTGCTGAGGAACGGGCATTCATCAGACATTTCCTGAAGTTCACATGCTGAACAAGGCTGTATAATTTCAGTGGTGCCACGTCTTGATGCCATGCCTATGTTGTCCTGAAGTCAAAAGGGTGACTGGTGAACAGCCTGAACTCTCCTTTGCAGCCCCTAAGAGACTGCTGAAAGTCAGTCAGAGGTGTTTTATTTTTTTCATTTATTTTTGGCTTTAAAAGGTTTGTGTTGGACTGCTGTCCAGCTTTCCAGCTCTGTTCTTTGTCTTTTACCAAACCTGGGGAGTCTTCCTTGCTTGGTGAAGGGTGAGCACCCTTCTGTAGATCTGTTCTCTGACACAGCACTCTTTTATCCTGCCTCAAAGTTGCTTCTTGGCATTGTTCACTATTAAATAGAATGTAATACCTCTGTTAACTTCACATAAATGTTCTAATGATTTCTAAAGAGAAGAATCGGGTTCTGTTTCTTATTTTGTTGTTGTTGGGAGTATAAGATCTGAAGACATACTTAAGACAGTATTAACAATTATAAAGCTAGTTTCAGAGTAACAAAGTGTTAGCGACAGGCCAAGCAGCAGAGTTTAAGGAAACAATATTTATGCAGCTGATGTAATTCAGCTGTTCTAAGTCACACTGGGGGAAAAAGAAATCCAGAGGAAATGAGTCAGTTGAGGCTTGCTCCAGTTCTTCTTCAGTATATCCTTCACTTACAGTGTGAAGAATGGATCAGCTTCCATAAATCAGGCCCCTGGGCTGTGTTGAGAAAAATGGGAGCTTACCTGCTCCTGCTAAAAAATGTTCTGAAATGGTAGTTGATCTCACAGAAGCTGACAGGGCTCTTTGAAGAGCAGCTTAACTCAGTTTATAAGAGAAAATTAGTTACTAGGTTATAGAGAAAATTTAACAGACCCATAGTCCTGTTTAGTTCTGCACTGGAAGGGAGTGCCAGACTCCAGCCAGCTGCAAGAGGTTTGTTTGGATCACAGCATTTGGCTGTCGTTGCACCTCCTTCCACAGAAGAAGGATAAAAGTACAGAGCTGTGGGAGAACACCTTTTCATAGCTGCATTTTGGAAAAGCACCACCAGAGCTGAAGCGTGCTGTGAAAATGCATCTCCCTGCACAAGCACTGAGCAGTGCCCACCTTTCTGAGCTCACTTCGTGAGCCAATCAGGCACGCCGTGCATTTCCTCTTTCCGAGACTTAAATCCAGCCTAAAAGGATCAGTGCAGGTATGGTTCAGAAGGAGCTGAATGGTGAACGTGTCAGTGAGATGCCCCTGTGGGTTCTGCCCACAAGGAGCAGCCGCTCTGGAAGAGCAGAAGGATCTATGCAGTAACAAAAAGTATGCACGTGAGAGTTACGCGTGCCAAGGGCACGTCCCGTGTCCAGCTGCTCTGGAGCTTGTTGGTACACCAGTGGTACCTCCATGCCCACCTCGCTGCTGCCCCAGTGGTGGTGTCAGCCAAAGCACAGTGGGAAGGTAAAGCAGCTGTTTGACTTCTGAAGCACCCACTGATGGTGTCTTAGGGCAAGTGGAAAGGGAAGTGTGTATATTTGCATCAGAACTGGAAAGACAGTTGTTTTGCTTGGTGGAAATAAATATCTCTATTTATGTCTAGATAATTTATTTTATCAGTGAATAATTGGTCTGAAGAGGGAACACCCTGAACCTCTCCCAGGTATCCCTAGACCTAAGTAGACAATTTAACTGGGCTGTTCCCATCGCTTAATTTGTACCAGTGGAAGCAGGAGATGAACAAGTCACGAGACTGGGCTGCTGAGGCTTGGGTTCATCCTGCCTACCCACAGGCACCTAGGCGTGAGCTCCTTTGTTGTGAGCTGACTCTCTAAACTAGCAGTGAGTGAGAACCATCTCAAGAGGAATTCAGCTCACCTGAGAACTTAGTAAACCCTCTGGAGACACCTTGAGTCTCTTCACTAAGGATGGGAACTACTCATCATGTTTAAAGTGGTACAGGATGAATCTGAGCCTTTATCAGCCCTGCAGTGTTTTTCCTGACTATAGCATTTAAATTTTGGTCAGTTCAGCAAAGGAATTAGAAAAAGTAGTAGTACTTTTTTTTTTTTTTTTATGTGTGTCACTTCCTTTCCCAAATTAAAGCCTCTATTTTGGAAAAAAACAAAAAAGCTAATTTCCTCACTATTCAGAACCACTTCTGCTAGTTTCAGCTTAGTGGGATAGATGGCAGCACTTGCAGCCTTTACTCAAGGAAATTCCTGCTAAAGCTGGAAAAAGTTCCGAGTGAGGACTGAGGTGACAGCGTGCAGCACAGGCGTGGGAACGATGGGGGTCCTCATTAGACTGAAATGCAGACAAGCAGCATATCCACCAATTTGTCACGTGTAATGTACTACTTGGTGTTTTAATATTTAGCAGCATCTTTATGCAGAATGTTTTTAGAATTCTACCGTTTACATTTTCTCAGGCTTATGCATCACGTGTAGTAGTGACCGCTGGAAGTAAAGGAGCCTGGTGGTGGAGTCATTCACCTCTGTCATCCAGATTTTCCTAAAGGTATTGTGTAAGTGCCACGATGTTAAAAAAAAATCCCCACTGACCAACCCAAGCCAGAAAACTCACTTCCACAGTATTCTGGATCTAGTCAGGCTGTTTGTTGGAGCAGAATGTTCCACAGCGTGGGGAGGAAAACACATCCTGAAAGAATATTTTTGAACTTATGTGGAAGGAGAGGGTGGAATTGTTAGAGTGGGTAAAGAAAAGACAGTTCTTGTTTATTCAGTGCTTTTGATCAAAAATGTTATGAATGTTTGTTTCATTCCTTGTGTGTCAAGTCTCCTGCCCAGAATAAAGGCATTCTTGCAGAACTGTTGACCAACTAGAGTCTTGATCTCTATTCAGTCTTTAATAAAAGCACTTTATTTTGGCTTTTATTTGTTTGTTTATTTGTGGAGTTTTTTTGGTGCCCTCTCAGAGGAGTACCACCTCGTGGCAGCTCTGCTCTGGAAGATGCATAACACCTCAGAAGAAGAGCATCTAGTTGGACTAGCTGATCACTGTAGGTCCCTTCCAACTGAAATCTAGTCTAGTCTAGTCTAGTCTAGAGTAGTCTATTCTAGTTCAGTGTCTTGTGCCACCTCTCCTCAGCCTTCTGCCCTCGCTTTCAAGGCAGTAAGTAGATGCTGAAGACAGTCCACAACTTACCCAGCCCTTTTTCTGGGTTGGCCAAGTGGGCTTAAAATATTAGGTGAAAAAAATACACTTAAAAATGCAAAGGTCATAGAACACTTCGAGTTGGAAGAGACCTCAAAAGGTCTCTAGTCCAACTCCCCTGCAGTAAGCAGGGACAACTTTAACTAGATTAGGTTGCTCAGGGCCCCATCAAGGGTGAAGGAAGTGGGAGAAGTGAAAAACTCAGGATTGGCCTGCAGGGATGGAAATAAAAATTACATTAGAAATTTCCCCATTGCACATGTAAAAGAGGAGTATAGTGCCACAGGGAGAAACTCGTCCGATTCCGGGAGGCACA